TCCTGTTGAGTAAGTAATTTTGATGAAGGTGGTGATTCCTGTCAAGGTCATTCCAGATGAAAAGGCCATTTCAGTTAAATAGTTCATTCCAATCAAGTAGGTCATTCCAGTCGAGTAGATATGAACATAAGGGGACATAACAGAACGGGGAATTCTATCTCCCAGGTTACCACCCACCATTCACAAAGGACAGAACAACAAGAGCAGGTGGGGTGATGCTATATGTGAAAGAGGACCAGAATGTTACCAAAAATGAGAAACTGAACACCATGGGTTCCTCAGTCTGTATGGTGCAACATATTAACCCGGAATGGTACCAAAATGACTGTGGATGTACAGTATGCTACAGGGCTGACAAAGCAGCAGCAGAGGAAATTACAAATCTGCATAATGTGATCATTGCACCATCTGAAACCCAAACCCTAATAATGGGTGACTTTAACCACGAGACCATAGATTGGATCAATATAACATCACAAGCAGAAGGTGAACAATTTCATGACCTTGTGTAGGAGTGGCCTCAGGCCTGGCTTGGGGAATCAAAGAAGAGGAATTTCTACATTACTAGTGAGGTGACTATCAAGAATGAGAGGAACTGAAACCATGGCTTGGAAGCATCATGGCAAAATTTGGCAAGATTTCAAGAGGGGTCATGATGGAACTTGTTCAAAAATATGTGCCGAAAAGAAGACAAGAAAGAGAACTCGGTGGCTGACACAGGTTGTAAAACGAGCACTGGTAACCAAGAGGAATCTTTGGAGAATGTATAAATCCACGATGGACATCATTGGTTATGAGTTATACAAAAGGGCACTAAACTCGGCCACTCAGAAAATCAGATCAGCCAAAAGAAACTATGAAAGAAAACTTGCCCAAAACACAAAGAAAGATCCAAAATCATTCTCCGCCTGTATAAGAGGACTCGAAAGGTTGGATGACATGACATCACTCACACAAATGTTTGAAGGAGGGAAGGAGAATGAATTTAGGGATATACCCATAACATGCAAAATAATTAGAAATAACATTGACAAGCTAAAAGACCTAAAGCCCCATGTGTGGATGGAATCCAATCCAAAGTCTTAAAGGAACTGGCAGAAGAACTATGCCTACCGCTGAAACTACTTTTCACAAAATCTCTGGACCAAGGAGTAGTCCCCCTAGATTGGAAATATGCAAATGTTACCCCTATTTTCAAAAAAGGCAGAAAGAGCTCCACAGAAAACTACTGGCCGATCAGCTTGACATCACACATCTGCAAGCTCATGGAGAGAATCCTCAGGGAGGGAATCATTCACCATCTTTCAGTGAACAACCTTGTACAATCGACACAACATGGATTTGTTAAAAACAGATCCTGCCTTACAAACTTGCTCACATTTTTGGAAACGGTAACCAGCTACTCAGACAAAGGCCTTCCAGTGGATGTAGTATACATGGATTTTGCTAAAGCTTTTGATAAGGTACCACATGAAAGACTGGCAAGGAAATTACAGGCCCATGGAATAAATGGTAAAATATTAGAATGGATAAAACAATGGTTGAAGGAAAGAAAACAAAGGGTCATGCTAAATGGAAATGAATCTGAATGGAGAAATGTGATAAGTGGGGTGCCACAAGGGTCCATTTTGGGACCTACCCTTTTTGTCATATACATCAATGACATAGATGAGAATATTACAAACCACATCATCAAATTTGCAGATGACACAAAGATTTATGGTAAAGTGGGAAATGATAATGATATTGAAGCCTTACAAAGAGATCTACATGAACTCCACAAATGGTCAGAAGACTGGCAAATGCTTTTTAATATCGACAAATGCAAGACCCTGCATGTGGGGCATAACAACCCATGCCACGACTACCAAATTAATAGCATTACATTACAGCAGATTGATGAAGAAAAGGACCTTGGAGTCAAAATCCACCACTCATTAAAAGTTGCACAACAGGTGGGTGCAGCAGTCAGAAAAGCTAACCAAACTCTTGGGATAATCAAGCGTACTTTTGACTATAAGGAAAAGAAGGTAATGGTTCAACTGTATAAATCTCTGGTGCACCCTCATTTGGATTACTGTATCCAAGCATGGAGACCTCATTTTCAGAAGGACATAGCTGCTCTGGAGAAGGTGCAACACCGGGCAACAAAAGTCATTCCAGAGCTAAGTCATCTCTCGTATCAGGAACGGTTGAAGGCCACAGGGCTAACAACACTGCAAACCAGGCATGACAGGGCGGATCTCATTGAAACTTTTAAAATACTGAACAAGTTAGAGGATGTTGATCCGGATATTTTCTTCAGAAGGTCAGATGTAACACAAACAAGGAGCAATGGTTTCAAGCTCAACAAGCCACAATGTAGGACTGAGAACAGGAGATGCTTTTTCACCCACAGGGTTATTAACCCATGGAACTGCCTACCCGCCGAAGCCGTAACTGCCAAAACTGTGTTGAGTTTTAAAATATACCTGGAAAAGATCATCAAGGCAAATGGGGGGACCTTCGACAAGCCGCCGGCTTCCTGTCCTCATCGAGGCCACTAGGGTTAGTGGCCCTCAGGTAAATTACCTAGCAGTAAATAGGTACCTGGGTGTTAGTCAGCTGTCACGGGCTGCTTCCTGGGGGTGGAGGCCTGGTCGAGGACCGGGCCGCGGGGACACTAAAGCCCCGAAATCATCTCAAGATAACCTCAAGATAACCCTTCCCAGTAGCCCTTTGTTGATCATGGCGGCTGATTGGATTGCTTTGACCATATTGTTTGGCTGCTTCTGCAATAATCATCAGGATAAATGGGGGGAACTTTAACAAGCTGCTGGCTTCCTGTCCTCATTGAGGCCACTACAGATATAGTGGCCCTCAGGTAAATTCAGGTAAATCTTGTGTAGTGCAATATTTTGCTGGAACAGAGACTGTTGAGATGGGTGTGTTCTCTCTTCTGCCCCGCCCCCACCAAACAGTATGAATGGTGTGGGGTTTGCTTCACTATGGGATGACTGAAGATTCATTCAAATTAATATGTAAATTGATTATAATGTAGATGAAGATCTTGGCATTATATAGCGTCTTTCTGCTGGATGATGTTGAGTCACTGTGTGGGTAAGGCATCACGCTCTGGCATTTCAGGTTCTCTAAGGGTCTTTGGAGTGCAAAAGTTTCCATTTTGAGGCTCTGAGGTTGAAAGTCTAAAACCTGGATTACCAGCGTATGGCCTGAGGAATTTTGGACATTTACGCCTGCATGAATTCAACACTTGAGTTATTTATGACTTGAAGACTTCGTGAATTTAGGAGTTTGAGAGTGTAATATTTGTGTGGGTTTTTAAATAATACATTAAGAATTTTTAAACTGTATGGCTTTTTATTCGAGTTTACTGTATAAGGAATTGAAACTTTAAGGCTTGAGAAATTTAAGACTGAATAACCTAACAATATTAAAATCCAGTTCTATTCTTAAAACTTGAAAATCTAAGAGCTTTTAAGATTTTATAAATTTAAGGACTGACATCTATGAAACCTGATGACGCCAAGACTTGAAATATCTAATGAGCGACTGCTTTTACACCCTGGGGTAAGTGGGGGTATCTGTGGTCTCTGGAGAGAGGGAAGACTAGGGAGGCGGGAGAGGAGGCAGTCACATGAATCATCATTTGTAATCAACATTTCTGAAGGAGACAAATAAACTGTGCTTCCAGGAGCTAATGTAGGAGGTTTTTATTTACCCTTGAACAAATATAACTATAGAGGAAAAGAGGAAGATGAAGACTAAAGAAGAAGCATTGTTGAGCGGTGTGATGGTGAGTGCCGTATTTTTGCTGGGTTAGGTTTTATTTGCTTCCAATGTGTAATCATTTTTTGTACTATATAGGGATGAAAAGTGTTTTTCATATTACTGTATAGTAAATTAGTGAGTGTAAACCAAGTGTAGGCCTACATTAAATTTGATGAATGTTTAGTTTCTATATACATCTACACACATGTAAGCAATCGCTTATTCCTTGTGTACTCTGTGTAACAAGTGAAACTTTAAAGGCCATGCTTTCATTTTCTAAAAATCTTCCATCAAATATATTTTAAAGTTTCATTGCTCAATAAATCTGATACAATATTGTGGATGGTGCACCATCTTATGATTGGGTCACAGCAACTTTCATCTTTTGCTGTATAAAACTGACTATTGCAAAATGTCAGGTTTACTCCCTCGTGGTCTTCCCTGACAAGACACGGCATGTACACATCTACATTAAAATGTTCTCTTGTTTATGGTGTTTCACTAGAAACACATTAAATCTTAAAAAAAGTCACATAATGACTTATAGCAAGTTATAATACTGTACTTTAAATATATTCGACACTGTCATCATCTACAATGGTAACAGCTTCCTTGTATCTTTTATTGATTTATATACAGTGCTTTTTTCAATATTTTCTATAGTATGCTCATAACTTATTGACCTGAAATTTACTTGAGGGGCCACCGTCTCTAGTGGCCTCCATGGGAAACAGGAAGTGGCTTGTCAAAGAACACCACATTGTTCCTGAAGATTTTTCCCTGCTAAATTTTGAATTGGAGTCATACTGTCTTGATGATTGGTGTAATCAGTATCCAAGATGGTGCTGCAATCATTACAACAATGATAATTATCATGAATTTAAATAACATTTATCTCAAACTTAAATGTAGAATCTGTAATTGTCTACTTTCTGGAGGCATATTTTTCTTTGTGTCCTACCCGATCTGACTCTCTCTAACTATATATTTATTTAACATTTATATACAAGAAGCTTCATTGGGTTGAGATAGTACATACATTGAGGTTTGAGTGTAACATTCTTGCAAGCCACTAACATGCACAGTATTTCAGGCAGGTTTGTTGCCCTTTTTTATTCAATAACAAAGCAAAATAAATAGCTTCTAAAAGAACTTACAATTTACAATTTCTTCATTTATTAAATTTAAAATACTTAAATTTGCATGCTCATCATTTCTTACCTTGACAGAGTATCCTCGCAGAGAGCCCAGCAGCAAGGGAAGAAGGTTGTGATGCTGAATATTCCCTCTCTACTGATAAAATCTTCATCAAGATGGAGCCCATGACTCCTGCCAGCCCTCACTTCCAGTCAGTAATCTCCCACACTCAAGATACTCACCACACTCCTGGCTCAAGCTCTTACTTTCAAACTGGAGCTTCAAGGACTCTTTATAGTGATACTACATCTGTAGGAGAATATAAGCTTGATCTCTCATCCTCAGAATGCTGTGATTTCAATAACTTACAGAGAATTTCTTATCTAGATCACCCATTAGAAACCTCTGATCAAGATTCATTTTCCTCACAGAAATCTAACCTCGATCCCCTGGCATATGTGAACTCCAATCTTGATCCCTTATCAACAGAGACCTCCGACAGAGAACTATCACTGTCAAACCCCTACAGTGAGATCAATTCAGGGTCCAGACAAGGAGATGTAAGCAGTCCACTTCCCCAGGAGAACCTGCAACAACTCAATATAAATATGGATGACAGATTGCCAGGACCAACATTTTCACCAGGAGTATTGAGATCACTGCCCTTCAGTGAACCAGCTTGGGCAGCTCTCGAAAAAATCACAAAACACAGTGGTGGTATCTGTAAGAACCCACAAGCAGTCAAACATCTGATCTGGAAAGTGAAAGAGCACATCCATCGCAAACAATTGCAGAAGGAAGATGAAATGGCTGCCACCAGTTCTCTGGCCCATGTTGACCACACCTATAATGCCCATAGCCAAAAGCAGACTATCGACGAGTACATATGTAAAATGTGCAACAAAGTCTTTCCCAAGAACCGCCGTCACAGGTATTTATCCCACATTCGCATTCACACTGGAGAGAAGCCTTTTAAGTGCAGGGTTTGTGGCCGAGGCTTTAATCGACAAGATCATGTCCAAGTGCACATGAGACTCCACACTGGTGAAAAACCCTTCCACTGCACCTCATGTGGTATTGCATACACCCACAAGGTGTCCCTCAAGAACCATAGATGTGAAAGTGCACAGAGCAAAGCTTGTGTAGAAGCTCAGCAATCGTTAGAAGATCCAGTGACTGCTTTGCCTTCTGCACTTCCCGTCTCTTCTACTACTGATAGCTTGATGGTAGACTTTGTTTCTCAACATTTAGGGAAAAATCTGAAAACATTGCCAGAAAATAGCTCATTATTACATAGAGATAGTTCTGAGAGAAATAGTGGCTGTATTCTTCAAGCTAAGCCATCCTCAAACCAACCATCAAATTGTGAATCTAACCCAAATACTGGTACACACTTTGGTGCTAACAATACAGTTGATCAGGACAGTCAGTTTACTTTAAGTGGTGAATCTGTAGTAAATATTCAACCTTCCTCAAACAACAAATATTCATTGAAAGTTAAATCTGTCACCAACTCGCCTGCTGTTTGCCCGTCTCATATAAACCAACCTTCCCTTATTACTCAACCTGACCCTACACACCAACATATTTCTATCCCTCATTCTCCAATTGCCTCTCGGACTGTTGAAAACACACCCGTTATCTCAGACCATCATTCTACCCAAGTACCTCAGTTGCTTGCCTCACAGCTGCCCATCATGCCAGAGACCATCACTACCAGTAATGTATCAATGACAATTGCTGGTGCAAAGCAACTCGCCTCCAGAGATAACTTGACTGATAGTGATATGAAAGGCCTATCAGACATAGTTGCACCAGCATTAGATATTAGTGAAGGTGACATTAGTAATTTGCGACTTAATTTAGATGCTGCTGAATGTCTAAAAGACGATTCAAAAGGGTGGGACTCACAAGAATCATCACATAAATCACTTGGGTCTTCAGATGAAGTTGTAGACTGTCACAAAGATCCTTTGCAAGGATTCCCAGAAGTTGTAGATAATTTAGAAGAGAGCACTAAGGCTTCATTACAAAAACTTTCAGGTGTAAAGGATGACCTGGAAATTAATTCTCAGGATTGTTCTCAAATAATTCTAGATGGTATGGAGATTAACACAAAAAGTAGTGACTTTCAGTCAAAGAAACCTACATCAGTCATTAGTCCCGTCAAGAGACTACTGGTGAAGGGAACTCGCTGTGGCCAGGCAGCAGCAGGAGTGAGTAACACCGACTTATCTCCCAGCTGGTGGGGACGGCCTCGAGTTATGCCTATTCGCCTCAGAAAAAACAAGCTTCCAGCTAATTAGTGTTGTTATTTATATTTAACTATATATTTAGTTATTTTCCAATTTTATTATTATCTTAGTTGGTTTAACCTGTCTTTACCTTTATAAATATTATACTGTTTACCAATATTAATATATACAAAATATAATGCATTCCCATAAGCCAGTGTTGTGTTTATTGATGTCCTCCTTTAACTTAGGATATTTGTTATCAATTATGTTTCCAAATTTATTTTAAAGATTTACTCCAAAATCCAGATGATAGTCTTTGGGAGATTGCAAACTAGATTGGTACAGTGTTGTACAGAACTTATTTAAAACAACTCAGTGATACCATAATTCAGTTGTATATTCAAGAATTAGATGTAAGCATCTGAAAGGTCTTGTTGCATTCATACACAATGTTATATTGAAAGCTTGATAGATCACAATTGGTCAACTCGACAAGCAAGTGTCTGAATTTATAGTAAATCTTCACATTAAATGGATTTTAATGTTTGTTTTGCAACGATAATGACAGGTCCAACGCTTAATGCAGATCTGCAGCTGTTGCCGAGCCTTTCCTTACGGTTCACCTTTCTTTCATTGAAGTGAGGTTTTGGTTTTTGGTTATAGTTTTTTCATGGCCAGGGATTGAATACCCGTTAGGCTTGTTTAGGTCCCCTAATGTCAACCATGATCCTTTCCCAGGGTGGAATCCAGGTACCTATTTGCTGCCATGGTGAACATCAGCATCAGATAAAAGGAAACGTTTCCCAGGTAGGAAGCAAACCCGCTTGAGTTTACTACTGGGTCACAGGATCCTACGTTGTGCTGTGGTAGAGAGCATTGCTGGTGAGGGTGCCATAAGTTGGAGAGAGGTGGGATTTATGCAGGAAATTTCGATACCTAGCCTTTTGTCATATACATCAATGACATAGATGAGAATATTACAAACCACATCACCACATTTGCAGATGACACAAAGATCTATGGTAAAGTGAGAAATGATAATGATATTGAAGTCTTACAAAGAGATCTACATGAACTCTACAAATGGTCAGAAGACTGGCAAATGCTTCTTAATATCAGCAAATGTAAGACCATACATGTGGGCCATGACTGCCAAATTAATAGTATTACATTACAGCTGACTGAGAAAAGTACCTTTGAGTCTAGATCCACCACTCATTAAAAGTTGCACAATAGGTGGGTGCAGCAGTCAGAAAAGCTAACCAAACTCTTGGGATAATCAAGCGTACTTTTGACTATAAAGTACCCGAAACGCTACGAAAAAGTACCCGAAACGCTACACTAACTAGTGGCTGTACAAGAATCTGACAACTTTTGTATATAAATAATAATAATGTTCCGAACCTTAACGGTACCCCTACTCAAATCTCTGAATATGTTAGACATTAAGTCACTGCACATTCTCTCATGTGTATTATACATATATAAAACGCTAAACTATAATGCCAACCCTGATCTCAAAAGCTTCATAGAAGGTTGTAACAGAACCCATGAGCACCACACCAGAAATAAATACAGTTTTGATATTCCTAGAGTACGACTTAATCAAACTAGAAATGCTCTACAAATCAAGGGGCCCAGAATGTGGAATGACCTTCCCAACCATGTTAAAGACTGTACCTCTCTCAACCAGTTTAAGATGAAAACGAAGCTATACCTAATAAATTCCCTGTAACCTACCTTACCCTTCTATTGTCAACCAATGTCTGTTCTTTTTTTAAAGAGCGCTGTTTGTCAACATAATTGTATTTGTGCTGCTTTTTCAGCTATGTTTTCATTTCTTGTTTTCATTCTACTCATTATGCTCAATTAGTATTAAGCTTGTCATTTAAGTTTATCATGCCCAAAACGCTTTGCGTAATAGTGCCTTTATTTATTTATTTATTTATTTATTTATTTATTTATTTATATACAAGAATGTACATAAGGAATGTGAGGATACAAATATGGTAATTACAGTCTTGTAAAGCCACTAGCACGCGCAGCGTTTCGGGCAGGTCCTTAATCTAAGAAAATTTTAAGGAGGTAAATACTTGCAAAATTTATAGACAAAAAATGATAACAGATTACATGGAATGAAAAAAAAGATGAGAGAAAATTATAGGTACAGTATATTAAAGCACATAGGTAGCTATGATTGATTGCAATGACAGCTTAAAATGGTAGTTGACAACAAATTGGTAGGCACAATACAGCAGAAACAATATAAGATTGATTGCAATGACAGCTTGAATGGTAGTTGACAAAAAATTGGTAGTCACAATACAGCATATGGCTAGCACATAAAAGAAGACAGCAATGAACACAATGATAAGGTTGTTTGATATTACATAAAAATTAGGAGATTGGGTAACACTAGGTACAGAGCAAATTTAAAGCTCAGTGTAGGAAACTAAATAGATGAAGTTAGGTACTTTTTGGTTTTGCTTTTAAATAAGGCAAAAGTTTTACAGTTTTTCAATTCACTAGGGAGTGAGTTCCATAGACTAGGTCCCTTAATTTGCATAGAGTGTTTACACAGATTAAGTTTGACCCTGGGGATATCAAAGAGATATTTATTTCTGGTGTGGTGATAATGGGTCCTATTACATCTGTCCAGGGAGAGTTTCAGAGCATGGTTTGCATTTAAGAACAGGGTTTTGTAAATGTAGTTGACACAAGAGAATGTGTGGAGGGAGTTAATATTTAGCAAGTTTAGAGATTTAAACAAGGGAGCTGAGTGTTGTCTGAAAGCAGAGTTAGTTATTATTCTGATAGCAGATTTTTGCTGTGTGATGATGGGCTTAAGGTGGTTTGCAGTGGTAGACCCCCATGCACAGATACCATAATTAAGATAGGGGTAGATTAGTGCATAATATAGTGAGAGGAGAGCAGAGTTAGGAACATAATATCTGATTTTGGAGAGTATACCAACTGTCTTAGAGACTTTCTTAGTTATGTGTTGAATGTGGGTGCTGAAGTTGAGTCTCTTGTCTAGGACTAGGCCAAGAAACTTGCCATCATTTTTATTACTGATGTTAATGTTGTCTATCTGTAGCTGAATTGCATTTGATGATTTGCTTCCAAATAAGATGTAGTAAGTCTTTTCGATGTTTAATGTTAGTTTGTTCGTTGACATCCATAAGTGGACTTTTTTTAATTCATCATTCACAACATTATTTAGTGTATGTGGGTTGAGGTTTGAGTAGATAAGGGTAGTATCGTCAGCAAACAATATAGGTTTGAGAATATTGGAGACATTAGGCAGATCGTTTATATATATAAGAAATAGAAGAGGTCCTAAGATGCTGCCCTGTGGCACTCCAACGGTAATTGGTAGAGTGGAAGAAGTTGTATCATTGATGGTTACATATTGGTGTCTGTCACTAAGATAGTCAAGGGCAAGGCCTCGGAAGGCCTTTAGGCATTGTATGTACTAGCTCTACCTATAAGTCAACCTATCTTTGTAAAAATTTATTGTATGTATGTACCTTACCCAAATAAACATTTTATTTTATTTTATTTTATTTTATTTTATTTTAATGGAATCTGACCCATATATCAATCAGGTCAACCCATGTGTTGCGTTTCCAAAAGGGTCGCCCATGTTAGAATCGGTGAACGCCCTAGTAATATTGTTGAAAACATCTTAACTTATTAAACCAAAGGTCTTTTTATGTCAGAAGAACGGCAGAAACTGGATCTATATATGAAAACTCTTTCAGGACAAAATTTAAAGTAAAACTAAAGATATTTGTAGTATAAAAGTTGCATTTTTCATCGGTCGTAGAGCCGGAAATCCGCAATATTCATCTCAGAACAATGCTTATTTCACGCAGAATCGTTAATAAACGTAAGATTTTTATACGTCTCAAGAAAGATAGAAACATAATCTTCATTTTAAATGCCTTACCATGGGCATATTTGTATTTAAAGCGAAGATACGTGTATTTTTCTAATCGGCGAGCTCCGATCCCGCACAGATCGAGCAACGGAGTAACTCTCTCAGAACAATGCTTATTTCACGTAAATTCGTTAATAAACGCAAATGTTTTTATATGTGTTGAGAAAGATAGAAATATAAGCTTCATTTTAAATACTTTACCATAGATATATATAAAGTTCTAATGAAGATACATGTGTTTTAATAATCGCCGAGCTCCGACCCCGCACAGACTGATCGAGAGAGCAACTCTCTCTCAGAACAATGCTTATTTCACGTAAATTCATTAATAAACACATATGTTTTATATGTCTCAAGAAAGATAGAAATATAAGCTTCATTTTAAATACTTTAACATAGACATATATAAAGCTCAAGTGAAGATACATACGTTTTTATAGTGGCATTCAGTAGCTTGTCGGTCATGGAATGCAGAAGCCTACGCACTTGCCAATATAGTGTGTAATTAACAAAGATACGCTTATAAAGCCTAAAATATTATATGCCTTCAGAAAGACAGAGATATGCTCGTTATTGTGAGTGCACCAAAGGAAATATATCTTGTTGGAGGACAAAGATATATCAATTCTAAAATAAGTTTCGACTGTCGCTCGGGAGAGAGATAGCGCGACTCTCGCCCCATCTATTGGAGATTCTGTTCACCTAATGACCCAAAGCTACTCAAAGCCTCCTAGCATTACTTAAATAATGAAGAAATATGGTATATTTATTCACTATAATGTTGGTGCTTAATGCAGAACACGAGAAAACATATATTTACTATAAAATAATATACTTCCATTATGAAATAAGTAAATATGTGGCCTCATAGGAAGTCAACGGTCCAGGTGTCAATGTTGTGGAGCGACTTATCCAAGATATATTGTTGTCTGGAAAGTGTTTGTTGGCATATCAACCTTCTGTACACAGTGATCCAGTCGTCGCACTTCTTATATATATATATATATATATGGAAGTTTGATTCCTAGAGGCTGTAAATTTCTTCAAACTCCTCCAGCGCTGAGTAGGGGTGGGAGGGGAGAGAGAGAGAGACCCAGGCACTGCCGGACACCCCTTCAAGTTTGGGTTTATTTAGAACTATCTATAGACTGCTTACCCCTGCCCATCCTTTCCAAACTCTTTGGACATTAAAGCTAAGGTAAGCTGTTCCTGTGGCGCCGTGGTAAGACACTCGATCGGCACTTCGCGAGTTATTTGGCCTGGGTTCATATCCTGGCTGGAGAGGATTGACTGGGCGCCAATCCTTAACTGTAGCCTCTGTTCACAGCAGTGAATGGGTACCTGGTTCTTAAACGATTTGGTGGGTCGTACTGCTGGGAAAATTCGGATTAATTCCCTCCTACACGCCCCTCCCCTTTAAGGACTTGCCCGAAACCCAATATGCGTGCTATAGTGGCTTTACAAGAATGTAGGAACTCTTGGATATATAAATACAAAATAACAGATACATCAATAAATAGACAACTTTCAAATATTGCACCAAGTAATGACGAGAGTAAAAACCATGCACTCTACATTACATTTGTAATTAATAATGGCGTCCAGCAAATACCTTCCTGTGATTGGCTGTTGCTGGGAATGCCAACACTCTTTTTATGAATAAAAGGCAAACTAACAAATATGTCTTTTGCACAACAAGAAGGTTCTTGTGCAAAAGAACAACAATTTATGTTTTGTACCTGACAAATTTCCATCTAAAAGAACAATTTAGTCCAATAAGAGGGCGAAGCATCATACCTGGTTGATGGGGTTCTGGGAGTTCTTCTACTCCCCAAGCTGGCCCTAGGCCAGGCTTGACCTGTGAGAGCTTGATCCACAAGGCTGTTGCTTGCAGGGGCCCGCATCATTAATATTCCCCCCCCCCCACTGATGACGTCACAAGTTAGGTAGCCAAGCCATTTTTATATAACCTGTTATATCGTACAATATTTAATTATCACTTAACAACACTTTTTAATTAATTAACACTTCACTTTTTGGGTACATTAAAGTTAAATCAGAATGTCATAAGCAGGGCTGGTGTGCTGAAAAGAGATGATTTACTAAGTGGCTGGAACCTTTAGCTAATCCCTGCCCGTGATTGGCTGTTGTGGTGAATGTCAACAAAAAGTTTCTACCAATGATATGTCAGCACAGGAATTCTTCCTTGAGCACAACAAACTGCCTTGTGGGCTGCTGTTCTCCTATTGATAGTGCATGGGTGACGCAACAGATGGCACCAGTTGTATTTTGTAGGGTGGCATGTTAATAGTGTAATTTGATGTCAACAGATGGCATAAGCTCTATCTTGTGGCTACTGTTGACCAGCCAGTTGATAATGTTCTTTTCTCCTGAGAGATGGCATCTGCTGTATTATTATTACTTCTGAATTCCCTTTTAAACACTGATCTACAAATCCTGTAGC